TCGGGCTAATATTTACGATCCGACATTTCTGCGCCGGTGGGGCTGAGGTGCTCCAGTGGATTGGTCAGCTCACGTCATCAGTAAAACCGCTTTGGATCCAATGATGTCAGATAGCGGACTAAAAATAGTGTGAAACTGGCACCCCACTGGTTGCTTGCTCACTGCATGGTGAAGACAGTCTTACGACAATAAATGACTTTCGCGCAAAGATTAAAAACTTTAAACAAGAACGAAATATGCCGGTGAAACAGAGACGCGTTTGGCTAAACACAACGTTCTCTGTTCTTTGTGTAGCAAACATGGTTTTTATCGCCCCAAATCACGCGAAGACTTTTCCAGTCCACATCGCACACGCCCCTATGTTTTTGACTCCATATTCCAGCTACGTGCGGCTCTTGTAAAGGCACCGATTTCTGAGTTCAATGTCAACTTTTTCAGATCGACCTTGCTTGGCACATAATTATGTAGCAGAGGAGCATCGCAGGAGATCATTACCCAGGCTCCGATACGAAACTAAGCATCTGAATAACAACGAAAAACGAACAACGATAAACGAATATGACAATACAAACCGAGCATCGCGCGAAAACTCGCCATTTCTCCGCTTTACGATTCACCCCGAGAGCAAAGCAGCCGTGTGTAATGGATTATGTAGGCATTGTCTAAATCGATAGGAAATGCTTCGGTGGTTTGTCACTGAGAAGAACAGTCTACGATTTTCGTGAATAACGACGACTTACCATTTGTCAAAGCATGGTCAAAGACATAAATGTGTCCAGATTCAACCATTTAAATCAAACCAAATAAAGCTTACATTAGCGTTGTAGCAGTTGCTGCTTCTGTCTACGAGATGTGTTTGCTGAAACCACGCGGTGGGGGTGGCCACAAATCAAAACAGCTCTTCTGCTGTTGACATCATAAATCACCACGCGTGTCGAATGCAGGTGGGTGGCTAACCGCGAACCCAAATAACGGTTACGTCAGATGGGAGCCAAATAGACCTCAACGTGAACTCAGCAGACCCGGCTAGACATATGTTCATGACGAAATGAAAAGCAGAACCACCAGGTACAAGAGGAAAGCAATTGCCCGTCATAGCATAACCTATCACGCGCATAATCATTGCCAAGTGACCAAGCATATTGGTGATGTAAAAGCAACCTAATGACAGACAGCCTTGAAAATCGAAGACCAGACGTGGACTTTGATGATCCTATGCGATCACTGTGACGTCACGTAACAGCGGAACCGGAGGGGGATGCTTGGCCCGTGTTTGTCGCTTTTACAACGTCCAAACAAACAACACCAGCGCGCGGAATCCGCGGAAACGGTGTTAGGAGCGGATACTAAACATTGTCCGCATTCCTCGAATGCTTCCATGGGTAAACAGAGTGGATAGCAACAGCAGTAACCGCTACCGCGGCAGCCCACAAGGAATGAACGAAGTACAACTTCAACAAATCAAAACTTCACCAAACTACCAGTATATGGTAATAAAACCGAACCATCAAAAAGCCCTTAGGGCCTAGCGACATGGGGCAGCAGTGTCCCAAAATTTTATTTGGGCTTGGGTGTCGGAGGGAGATACTCCGCACTGCAGAGAGGGCTGAAAGTGGAAAATCGCGAGTAAGAAAGGCACAAAAAGTTGAAACAGGGATCATCAGTTTTTTTGGTGAATGTTAGAGAATGTGGGAGCTGCATTATAAGATGATTCAATGTAATATGGATAATGGAGGTAGGTTAAAGCTAGCCAGCAAATGTACGTGCAAGTGCTCTTTATTGGTAAAATTAGGAGTGAAAAACTGTTCTGGAAAATTGGAGATGAAAGGGGAAATTGATTTCATTTGGATGTCACTTCCCACCCAAAACTGGCAAGTTTTGGGACACTGTGGGGCAGCAAGTAAAGATTAACAAAGCACGAAAGTAAAGCGGGCGGAAACAAGTCGTCTTCCTCCGACCTCCATGCCCCAAACGTCATACCTACCACCCGCGCGGCGCGACACCCCCCGCACCGAATATGGGCTGTTAGTGTAAGGTGAAATGACAGAGCAGAGCCGCTGGACCAACGGCCACTCACTTAACACTCCCAACACTCCCCACTCTTTGCGTCACTTCGTACGTCACGCTCACTAGCCTGAAGATCACTAGAGGCCGGCATACTCGTAGAACAGCTCAGCAGCATATTCAGCATAAACTACATTTACTGATGTTCGAAACTGACTCACCACCTACGGCTGAAGATCCCCGCTCCCCCATCTGTGACCTCACTACACCCTTGGATGTTCACAAAACTCACCGCATAATTCCACCGGCTCTTCGACCAGACTTCACCAGTTTTGCGTCTACGCCTCCTTCACTCTTTCCTTAGCCTCGTAGTCGTCACACTCACACCCAGCCCCCGGTGTCTGCCGACCGCTCCCCACCCCTTTTCCCCGCCCCGTCGCACGCCACGCCTCGAACACCTGTGGGCTGCGAGTGCACCCTACCCGGGGCGGGGCGACCTCTCACTCCCCACCAGTCCCAGTGCTCTGACTCGATGTAGCCGGGCAGCAGCTGTCACTAGCTCTCCAGACAGCAACACTAATGACGATACTAGGAGGGTATGCGTCCTAGTCTGCGATAATCAGGGGCCGAAGCTGTACGACCTGTGGTGCGAACCGATGACAATAACACGGGGGGTCGTATGGGGTGTCAAGTGACAGGCGGTAGACCGCATTCATCACACATTCGACCGCAAACACCCAACAACAAAAAACACCGGTTCTACTCCATCGAACGTTGCAGTGTACCCCAGCCCACCACATCACAGTCCTACCAACGTCCCTCCCGATCAGACCAGACACACACAGCTGGCTCAGATTCAGGTGAAGGCACGAAAACAAACAGTTCGAGACGCACAAGGTTACACTGTACACTCACATCGTATACGACTGAAAATCACTATCACCGTCCAATCGCTTCAACGCCTGTATCAGAAACGCATACTGACGTACAAAGCATTACAGCGCGAAACAGTGAAGGCACAGAAAAGCACTTGCACTCGGAAAGCAATAAACAAATAAGTGAGTGATAAGATCGGCATCTCGCGGTACTCACCACCAGCTGAGTTTCCTCAGGTCACCGGCAGGTGGCGCTGGTGCCACCAGCAGCACTCGGCCCGCTGAGGACGGAGCGGGTTAGTAATGTTAGTCTCACACACCACACACTCAAACGGTGCGTGGTTAGAGGGAAATCACTCAGCAAACCGTTCGGACGACGCTAGTAAAACTCAAACAGACACGACAGTAGCGTCACACTCAGCCGATTGGTGGGAGAGCAAGCAGTACGAATCAAAATTAGCATTGCCATAGCATAAGATCACACTCAAAGTGAAAAATATTACATCTTAGTTCTTACAATGTTTTGCCACAAGGTTGAAAAACGCATGCGATAGCTGTAAAAGGGACCGTTCCGTGCTTCTATCCTCAAGATACAGAAATCCTTCTCCTCCACGCCGCAACCCCCTCCGGGCTGGACAGGCAACTTTATCCCATGCGGGCTGCTCCCTTGGAGCTAGCCGGATGCAGAGAGTACCTTGGGGCTGGGTGGCCTGTCCTCTGGACGGGCTCAGCCCCGGCGACTCACTAGGGTGCCTGCCCAGACCAATGTCTCCCTCTAATTCCTATCATCCTTCCGGCTCTGCAATGGTCTTGTCAGACCGAAAGGGCCTAACCCAACAAAACAAACAGCAAACAGTAAGATTTTACCCATTCGCCACCGTTTTGTCACGACAAGGTTGAAAAACGCATGCGATAGCAGTAACAATGATTTAGCTGCAATTTTAAAACTTTTATTCTAGAGTTTAGACTATACAAGACCAGGGGCCATCTGATGCGAGCTAAAAAAGGAAACTTGATCAGTAGCCAAAGGCAGGTTGTGCTATTAATAAAGTCATCTTAGGTGGCGCATAGACCTGGCTGCTGCGATAATATTTGCGCTAAAGCTGCGTTCGTTATGACTGAAACGTCCGGCCCTTTCAAGTCGGGGTTCACCCATCATTTTGGCGGGAGCCGACAGCCAGAGATCAATCACGCGGGATTTAGAATCGCCTGCGATACTTCTAGAGATTCAGTTCTTTTTTCTAGGAGCACACCACACAGTTAGCCGGTCGCAAATAAGAAATCGACATTTTAGCAAGATACATAAGGCTGCTCTGGAACTAATAGCGAAATCACATCTAACACTTAGCACGGAACACCAACGATGAGAGCTACTCCTGGATGTGGAATTTGACATAAATACGCAAAAACCAACTTAAATAATTCATGCCCGAGTCCATTATCAGACCATTCACAGTCGGAAAAATTAAGCTTCATTCAACGAACTTCGATTCACGTCATTCGACTTCCCATGTATTCAGTCTATTTTGGAAGCGGACTTTAAAGTAAATCAAAGTAGAAGCGAATGACATACTATCAAAGCTAACGATCCATTTGACATCAAACGCCTTCTATTCATTAGTTAATGGAGGCCGGTGCTTGAGCTGGTGCCATGACCTTCCCGTGTCTGGCAAGCAGCGGTATTTCACACTGCAGCACAGATGACCGGCGAACGTGGATTCATAAACCACGCTTTGACCATTACAACACAAACATAAATATTGATTAACAAAGCACGGGGGCACACAGCGGTGTTTCATCGGTGCAATCACTTTCCGAGCGTTGTAATCGCCTGTGAAGCGAACTTTGTGCATCGGTTTCGGAACTATTCAGGACCTATTTACATAATCAAACCAGAAATCAACAACTTTGGAATGTTGCAAGCAAATCTGTACTTCGCTAGATGACTTTTGGTGCAACTAAGACTACGCCAGCACGGAAAGATGCAAAAAACTGCACCGACAAAATCATTCACCATTCGTCACAAAAAACCGGCACAGCAAACCATGCTTTCAAACCAAGTCCACCCTACCATCCCGATCCTCTACACATCAGCAGCACTCCCTCCTCCCTTCCTCTCACCTTGTGTCCCCTCGCGGCGGCCTGGGCGGCAGCCACTCTCCAGGGGGGCTCCAGCATGGTCAGCGGCGCTCCATACGCCGCCGGGCCGGCTCCCTCCCCCACCAGCACCTCGCCAGTCTCCTCCGGTCGCCTTCCGCGGTCCCGTAGCACCCGCTGCTCGGCCGCCACCCGCGCCATGGCATCCTCAATGAGATCCCGGGCAGTGAGATTTGGTCCAGGCACCGGAACCGGAGGCTGTGGCTGCTCCGAGGCGGCTGTCCGGCGAGCGGGGCGGGCGGGACGCACGGGACTGTCAGGCGGTGGGGCGGACGGTTGTAGCGATGGGTCGAGGGAGGGTGGAGGGGGAGAGTACAGGCAGGATGACCACGGGACACCCATTGTAGCGGCGGGGTCGATGGATGTGGCATGAGGTACTCGCTAGTCAGTCGGATGGACTTGCTGGAGCCGCATCAGTCGGCATGGTCACAATACTGCAGGTTCAGGTTCACCACACTATCACCCGCCAGGGGTACCAGCAGCGACACTGGCCCTGTCATGGTCTTTTTCAGTCATTCAGCCTGGAGAGCCTAGCACGGCAGCACCACCACCGACTAACACTTCTCTCACACACTGCCTAGTGCCTACGCACCGCACTGATTCACACACGCATCACACGCGCTCTGAACTGGCGCACCTGTGCTCCGCCCGACCACCACGCGTCCGATGACACAAAGACCAGCCCCCGGGTGCCGACAGGCCCACCCACCTGACCTGTGCCGTCAGCAGGATGACAAATGCGTTCATTGAGCACTGGAGGCGGGCCAACTGACGCACGGTTACTGGGCGGCGGGGGCGGGGGGCGGTGGTGACCAGAGACGGACGGTCACGGCTCGGGGGGAACGGTCACAGGTCATTTGGCGAGCTGGAACCGCTGCACTGGCGCCGTGGGGTCGGACCCGGGCGCCAGACCCAGTCACGGCGGATGCCGCCGGAGACGCCAGCACGCGTCTGGAGACGGTGATCAACAGCATCCGGGGGAGGTGTCGTTATTCAGTGGGGCGACGGGACGTCAGTGGATGAGGGAAAGTGGGTGGGGAGGGTTGATGTGGGGTCTCTGACTGACGGGTTGGGTCTTAGTGTGGTTAGTGACTGGGGATTCCGTGCAAGGCAGAATAAAATGGGTAAGTGTCGATAATAGCGCGGCTAATGGGATGAGATCGCAGTCAAATACTAATTTCAATATTTGTGGCAAGTAGAGAATGTATCTATGAAAATGCAAATGCCGATATAGTGAAACTTAACCCAACGACGGAAAACGAGTTATGGAGGACAACGCTTAGCGAGATCAGCAGTTAAGTGGCGACCATGACCTCACGGGTCTGCGATCTATGTACCGTTGCCAAGTCGCACTGTGTCCCTGCCCAGTACCCAGACTGAGATCTAACCGTCCGGATCGGCCGCAGAGCTAACTTGGCACCGTAGCCGGTCTGCGCGCCCTGCCAGGAGGGCGGTCAGCCGCCGCCGCGGCAGCGTGCATCCCCAGGAGTCGGCACAGCGGCGCCCTAAGCCCGGAGTCGGTCCGCGAGGAGTCGATTAATAAACCCCGACCCAGGGTGCCTGCGTCATCGGGACAGTTTCCGCACGTGGCTACGAGTTCAGTCGGGTTGGGTTACACGGACAGGTGCGCTTCATTCAGGTCGAACGATTGGTTGCAACACCACTCGAATATAACGAAACATCCCACAAAGTCGGATCACACCAGGGAAGCCGATCCCACCCCAAAACTACAAACGATCACTGGCTTACCGCTCACAGAGGGGCATTCACACAAGCCAGATTCGTTCCATTTCAACATAATCACACATCAAAGCATCCCCGTGCCATTTCCACCTATCCCCAACTGGACCGCTCTCGCGGCTCTCACCTGGGTCGGGCTTTCCAAAGTAGCGGTGCTCCAGGACCAACTCCTGGGGTGACACCAGCTGGCCATGTTTGGCGCGCGCTCGGAACAGAAATCGGCCCTCGTGCCACCCGTCCGTTCCACCGCGCGGTAGCTCGTAGTCCTGGCGAGGCAGAGGGCACGGGAGATAAGACTTACATTGCAGTACGGATATATCTCCAATGCACATGTGAGGCTAACTAGTGCAAAACAGTGGGTCGGTGCTCTCACTAAAGAATTGATAGTATGAACTGCAGTTTTACCTTCCGGGCTTCGAGTGTGTTCAGATCAAATAGCACTCGTAGCAGCGCGGATCAGAGTCCTTCAGCGACAGGCGCCGACAATAGCGACTAGACAAATAAGCACGTCAAACAGAACCGCTGAGTGAGAGTGGGGTACTACTGATCGGAATGCCTTACACCCGGCCAAAGAATACAACGTTACGGGCAAACAATCAAACAAACACGACTTACTAAAAAAGCACGCGGCCATGCGACTCTCACACGCCACAGTCAACCATATGCAATTAATTTGTCAGCATCTCCAACCCTCCCCCAGTGGTGTCGCCAATAGTAACACACGCTACCACGCAGTCATGAATCATGCGCGAGCATCAAATAGCATCCACAAATCGACGGCGACTGAAATAACAACCCAGCTACACACGACGTAACGAGCCTGAGACGCACCGTCATCCCTCCTCGCGCTCTGCACGACGGAAAGTGACAGATGGCACTGCGGAGAGGACTGATGACGCTGTGGAGAGGACTGATGGCACCACGGCCGGCTGACACGGCAGTCATCAGCGCGCCCATTAACACCCCGTTAATTACGTTCCTCGGTACTGAGCTTCAGCATTACATCGTGGGCTGGCGGTTCTGGACAACGTTACGGAAGATCTCGTAATGGTGCGCTGATATCTATCGGGCACAGTGTACTACGAGGGTGGTCAGTATCATCAATAAGGTTACCTTGGTCATTTGCACTCCCCATTCCCCAGCCCTCGACCTGGCTACTGCCAATATAATTTAAATCAATGTTTTAGGGTCTTGATTTCAATAGGGCTTGGATAGATGTCGACTAAAGCAGTTTCAGACTACAGCGAATATTTCCGTTTCCGCTACGATGGATTTTAGGGTCGGTTTGAGTGGAAATTTCAGCGCCTGCTTTTGTAGGATTACCTTTTTCCGATCCCTACGATCAATTTGGTGACGTATTTCAGTGGGTATTTCAGTGTGGGGTTCAGTAAACATTCCAGAAATGATTTCCGTCAATATTCTTGTCGCTTTCCGTTGCTATTTCAACTTGGTTCACTGGTTTTCGTTGGCTGAGGTTTTTGTCGCCACCAGCAAAAGTTGAGTCAGTTTCGGTTGATATTTCAGCATCAGCATCATATTTCATCATCAAGTGAATAATTATATGTCGTTTTCCATGGATATTTCTGAGTCGATTTCAGTGAATAATTATGTGTCGGTTTTCAATGGATATTTCAATGTCGGTTTCGGTAAATAATCATGTGTCGAGTTCGTTGGATATTTCGGTGTCGATTTCAGTGAATAATTCTGTACCAGTTTCAGTGACTATTTCGGTGTCGATTTCAGTGAATAACTTCGTGTCGGTTTCGGTGGTTTCACGGCGGTCTCCAGCCGGGATGATGGATGTACCGAACATAAACAAACAGTGTCTGGCGGCCGGGCCGGCGGGCCAAGTGGGGCGCCGACCGACCTGCAGACTGCATCCCGCCCCCTCCCCGGCGACCCAGGCACCTACCCTCCCCCATAGTCACCCAGGTGACAGAGTTAGAGAAAACTGACCTTAAGTGCATTGTTTACTAACCAGTGCCCTGAGCAAGGGTGTTTGCTCAGCCCTGCGACTGAACTAGAGAGGAAAACCAAAGGGTGTAAGGTACTGCCGGTCCTGCAGCTCAGTCTGTAGAACGCTGAACTCCGCATGGTGAGAGCATCTCTCCCGGTTATGAAAGTCCGGGGTTCGAAGCGCTCGATGTTTCTTAGGCTCATCACCGGTATGATTGCGGTTGGTGACAGGTCGTAGCCAACCAAAGTCAGTGAAGGGGACTTGTCGTCTGTGGCTATGAGCACACATTAAACTTAAGACTCTAAATTTTTTCATACACCAGGAATGGTGTGAGAGAAGGGTAGAGGGTGAGACCAAAGCAACACACTCACTCTACTCAGTAGGAGCAGAGTGTCACAGAGTCAGAGTCAGGGGCAGAGTCACTGCCCTGAGAATCTTTCCATCCAAAGGGCTGATTCAGATTAAATTTAGGAAAAAGCTGACAGGCTGAACAGTGACTTCTCATTTTAAGGCAGTACAAGGTACCAATCCCCAATCTCAAAACATTGCATGCTAGGGCAGATGAGGGCCTCTTATTCAAGACTTACCAGTTCTATGCCAACAGTGGTGCCAGAGCGCAGCTGGGGCAGCTCGCCCAACCAGCGGACGGTGCCCAGACGAGTGCCCAGGCTGCCCAGCCACACCACCCGATCAGAGACAGAGAAAACTGAGGCATCTGCCACTGCTCCACCTGTGACAGCCTCTGACGACATTGGTGCAAGGCTGAAAAGGAGAAAACAGAACACACTAGTTAGTGCCTAGTGGCAGCCATTATAAGCCATAAGCCAGCCGGCAGCCGCCAGCTGATATAACCAAATAAGTCAAAGTACGTCTCATAACAGTAGCCTGCTAGCAATGGCTATTAGCCCATTAACCTGATTTTCATGAAGCATCAGCATTGATTCATGGTAGTGTGTCAAGCAAGCTAAATCAAAATAAGTTTTTGTCAGTACCTACCAACCTATGTTATTAAGCACCCACCAGCTTCCAGATTATCATTATGATCCTTATCATTATGATCCAGTGTAAAATATGTGGGATTCGTCAGATCAATAAATGAGTCATGTTGGTGATAGATCAGTAGGCGGAACTATGGTCAAGCGTACCCATTTTCGGGAACGCATTATCGTTCCCATGTTTGGGAACGATAAACCCAAATATGGGAACGCCATGTAGGCATTATTTAAAACAAGAAAAAGAACCGTTAAATGACGTCCAAAAAATATAAAACGATCGTGAACCGCCTGATAGTTGTCTCAATATTGTTGGGAAAGAGTTTGATATTGTAAGGCCCATCGTAGTTTCAAATCGTTCCCCTATTTCTAAAGCAGTCCATCACCCGGGCCGCGAGCCCAAATTTGGGAACGCTCTCGTACACTGGCGCTGCAAGCGTTCCTTATTATGGGAACGGCGTACCCAAAATTGGGAACGATTTCACCGACGCCTTTCAGGGGCTCTTTTCATTAACAAGCATCACGTCCAACGCCGCAAATTATTGTTAACGCAACAATCATCAGATGACCTTTCCGGCAAGACCGTTGCATGTTTCGCCCGGTCTTCTGCGCTTTTATTCCCGTCGATCTCGCAGCGGGCACGCCCCCCTCTGCAGGATTACGTAATCCACAACGCTCAGCGATGTTCAACAAGGTCTTCCATACCTATATCCACCGTCCGCGCCGAGGGTGGAGACATGTCAAGCACCTGTCTGCTAATCACCGAGAGTTGACGAGCACAAGAAGTATCCAAAAATGGGAACGCTGAATATGTTACCCCCTTAAAACACCTAGTCCCAATGAAAATCTAGTTTTTTCCTTTCTTAATGAGTGTAAGTGGCAAAAGGCCTGGTAGGATGGGCACGAGGAATGATCGAAATCAGCATAAAAATTATAAATAAGCCACACAGAGCGACCTATATCAGAGAAATTCCCCCCAAACGATCATGCTTAGAAACGCCGAAGACAAAAACCACGCTCATGACGCTGCTTGTAAAACAACGCTTAACAGCTAGCATCCAAATAAAATATGTCTTTCAGGGCTGATAAAATACAGCTGAATGATTTTAAACCACTGAAACTGAGTTTACGACAGTAGTTCGGTAAAATCACTGACGTTCCACGCGGTCGATCGCCCCGACACCAAAAGTCAACAATATTACCTCGGGACTGTCCGCGTGTTCGCTTGCATATGTCAGCATCTGGTGTCGCTAGAATGAAACTTCATAACCAGGCGAAAATTATTATACTTGACCTAAAATGTAAAAAATGCTTCATTTTCCTTAAAATTGCATGTTAAATGTCGTATAACCCATATTTCCACCATTCTGTCATTTTTAAAAAATCATTAAAAATATCATTCCACGGTCAATTTCCTTGTTCCACGGTCAGATTAAAGATAACTTTATGGAGATTTAGTAGATACTTAAATCAGCGTGCACTTTTTTGAGACGTGATGCACTTTTGAGTTTTAGTGGGCGAACGGCCGAAAAATTGCCTTCCGTTCTCATAAATGGGAACGCCCGTTCCCATATTTGGGAACTCCGTTCCCAAAAATGGGAACGTTCCTATATTTGGGTACTCATGACCATAGTTCCGCCTACTGAGATTGCTCATTGTAATGCCTGATTTAAAAAATGTCAATGTTCAAGTTGTGACTTTGTGAGCATTTACTCGAGTAACCTAAAAAAACAGCAGTCTAGGGCCTAGGCAGACACCTACCTTATCAAGATCAATGAACGTAGACTGAGAAACTGACGCTTGTTTCTTGCCAGAGGTGCATTATGAAAAATATGATAAATGTTAGGGCAATATTGATATGAACGAATGCCCTATCCTGGCCACACCAACACACACCAACACGGCGCGCGGCCACCACCTCCACAGCAAATCTTCCAAACAACACTTCGCCTCTGCTGCGTCAAAACGGAGCTAATGCTGATAGTGATGTAAAGTACAAAGCCTAATAGTGCTGGGCAAGGTCCTATTGCGGCAGTTCCAGTACGAGTACCATGCCTACGGGACCAGAACCGCCTTGCCATTACCACCCAGTGGCGGCGCCACCATAGGGGCAGGGGTGGCAGCCTGCCACCCCTGCCGCGAGGTAGGGGTGGCATTGCCACCCCTGAAATATGGGACAAATTTGAAACGTCACCGACGAAGAAGACTCGCATACCTACTGCAAAGTCTTAACTATTCGAGGCCCCTTTGACCTTTAAGTCTACACTACATACAGGAGGCCCTTTTACACGTGGGAAGTTATCTAAGAGGCCTTTGCGTCACACAGGAGCCCTGTGCCCGCATAGGAGGCCCCTGTATCCGCGCCCTCACAGAAGGCCCCTGGGCCCTGGGCCCGCACAGGAGGCCCCTCTGCCCAAATAGAAGGCCCTTTGCCCACAGGAGACCACTGTGCCCGCATAGGAGGCCCCTGTGCCCGTACAGGAGGCCCCTGGGCCCTGGGCCCGCACAGGAGGCCCTTCTGCCCAAGTAGAAGGCCCTTTGCCCACAGGAGACCACTGTGCCCGCATAGGAGGCCCCTGTGCCCATACAGGAGGCCCCTGTGCCCGCTCAGGAGGCCTCTGTGTCTGCTCAGGAGGTCCCTGTACCCGCACAGGAGGCCCCTCTGCCCAAATAGGAGGCCCCTTTGTCCACAGGAGACCCCTATCCCTATGCCCGCACAGGAGGCCCTTTTGCCCACAGGAGACCCATGTGCCCGCACAGGAGGCCCCTGTGCCCGCACAGGAGGCCCCTGTGCCCACACAGAAGGCGTCTGTACTCACACAGGAGGCCCCTATGCCCGCACAGGAGGACCCTGTGCCCGTACAGAATGCCCCTGTGCCCGCTCAGGAGGTCCCTGTGCCCGCACAGGAGGCCCCTGTGCCCGCACAGGAAGCCCTTATGCCCAAATAGGAGGCCCCTGTGTCCGCACAGGAGGCCCCTTGCCCAAAGAGGAGGCCCCTTTGCCCACAGGGGACCCCTATCCCTATGCCCGCACAGGAGGCCCCTGTGCCCACACAGAAGGCCCCTGTGCTCACACAGAAGGCCCCTGTGCTCACACAGGGGAGGCCCCTCTGCACGCACAGGAGGACTTTGTGTCCGTACAGAATGCTCAGGAGGCCCCTGTGCCCGCACAAGAGTCCCCTGTGCCTTAATAGGAGGCCCCTGTGCCCACACAGGAGGCTCCTGTGTCCGTACAGAGGCCCCTGTACCCGCTTAGGAGGCCCCTGTGCCCGCTCAGGAGGTCCCTGTTCCCGCACAGGAGGCCCCTCTGCCCAAATAGGAGGCCCCTTTGCCCACAGGGGACCCTTATCCCTATGCCCGCACAGGAGGCCCCTGTGCTCACACAGGAGGCCCCTCTGCCCGCACAGGAGGACCCTGTGCCCTACAGAATGCCCCTGTGGCCGCTCAGGAGGTTCCTGTACCCGCACAGGAGGCCCCTGTGCCTTAAAGTGACCATCCCACCTGAACATTAGTTTTGAGTTGAGACAGCCAAATTGCTGGCCATGGCCTGCGCCCTGCAAATACCGGTTTGGGCACTCACAGGTCACAACATCAAAAAATGCTTTAGTTCGGAGATATGGAATTTCAAACTTGCAGTTTTCGGATTCTAAGGGGCTAATGCATTGAGATGCCCCCTTAGAATTTGTGACGTCAGCGGTGATCTAACGATTTTAAAACCTTATACTAACATCTTTTTGCAGCAGTGGTGGTAGGTATATGCTATTTGCGCCCAACATCTGCCGCAAACGCCGCACTTCCAAAATGAAGTCGCTAGGAACAGCGGAGATCCCAAAAAGTAAACAAAAGTAAAAGTCTGCTATCTTGAAAACCGGTGAATATTTTTTCGGTGAAATTTGGTAAATATTCGTTTTTGCTCTTTCTGAACCGAGCGACATCACTTTCATGCAAATTCATTAACTTTTTTTAAAGTGGGAGGGTCCCTTTAATAGGAGGCCCCAGTGCCCACACATGAGGCCCCTCTGCCCAAATAGGAGGCCCCTGTGCCCGCACAGGAGGCCCCTGTGCCCACACAGGAGGCCGCTCTGCCCAAATAGAAGGCCCCTTTGCCCACAGGAGACCCCTGTGCCCGCCCAGGAGGCCCCTAGGCCCACACAGGAGGCCCCTGTGCCCGTAAGGAGGCCCTGTGCCCGCTCAGGAGGCCCTGTGCCCGTAAGGAGGCCCTGTGCCCGTTCTTTGCCCAAATAGAAGACCCCTTTGCCCACAGAAGACCCCTGTGCGCACAGGAGGCCCCTCTGCCCAAATAGGAGGCCCCTTTGCCCACAGGAGAACCCTATCCCTATGCCCGTAAAGGAGGCCCCTGTGCCCGCACAGGAGGCCCCTCTGCCCAAATACGAGGCGGCTTTGCCCACAGGAGACCCCTGTTCCCGCACAGGAGGCCTCTAAGCCCACACAGGAGGACCCTGTGGCCAAATAGGAGGCCCCTGTGCCCGCACAGGAGGCCCTATCCCTATGCCCGCACAGGAGGCCTCTTTGCCCGCACAGGAGGCCCCTTTGCCCGCACAGGAGGCCCCTTTGCCCGCACAGGAGGCCCTTGTGCTCTCACAGGAGGTACCTGTGCCCAAATAGGAGGCCCCTGTAGTACCCGCACAGGAGGTCCCTATCCCTATGCCCGCACAGAACCATGTACCTACACAGGAGGACCCCTGTGCCCAAACAGGATCCTCTGTGCAAGGCGGTGGACGACCATATGTGACGGGGGTCCACCAAGGTAGGGTATCCCCAAATCTGCCTTTCTCATCGGATTTCGGCCACTTATTTTTCCACCTTGATCACCGACAAGACAAATTAGAATCTTTTTTTAATCTTCGAAATCTAGGCCCTCACGGGACCCGATGCACAAAACGTGCAGTTATAAAGGCAAATTAGTTATGTCAGCGGAACACGGGCCATTCTAACAGAGGCCCACGCCGACTAAAAAGGATGGTTGTGCTGAAAGGGACCAGGGAAGGTTTTGAAGGCCAATGCCGAGTGAAGGGTTCGACAACTAACGAGATCTCAAAACATTACGATGAGAGACCTGCTTGCTAAAATAAAAGGATGAGAAGTTTTCGTAATCTGATGCGGAAAGGACCTGGCGCTGGACCCTCGGGAATCAGAGTATAGGACCTTCTCAGATCAATATTGCCTATTCTGAAGCATCGCGGCACCCTCCGAAGTCGGTGTAGGGCCTTTAGAGGCTGGTTTTGGAGACGGACCTGGATTTATAAGAGGCCGTCGCGCGGCGTGCGGCGCTCAGAGGCAGCCATGGGCCGTCTAAAACCACTGGTCTTTCGAGCATCTTGGTATCCAAAAAGGACTTGAGCCCATGGGACACACCTCATTTCCAGCTACATATGCTTACCGTGGTTAGAACCTTAGATGTATAGTGTATACATAATGTGCTTATTTGCTTATTGTTTCGTTTTACTTCGTTATCAAGTGATGGCTGACAAAATATTGGCAGGGCTCAGGGAACATTGATAGGACCCAAATAAACATCGGTAGGGTTCGGGGCTCGGGCCCTACCAGGCCTATACAAAACCACACCCTGCCCCTGTTCCTACACAGAAGGCAACTGTGCGGCCATAAAGGACGCCCCTGTGCCACTGGCGGATCCAGAGCTCCGTTTTTTTTAGGGGGGAGGGGGCTAAACGTTGGTACAAGGCCGCTTTCTGTAGGCAAAAAGTTGAGCGGGGGACGAGGTGCACTCCGCAATTTTCAACCCATATCTTTCCATATACCCAATGTATGGTTAAAAAAGTTGTTGAGTGGGGGGAAGGGAGTGCGCTCCGAATTTTCCAGGCCGTTTTCATTCATTGCAACGGCATAATATGAGAGTTCAGACAAAAAAATTGTGGAGAGGGGGGGCTTATATGTATTGCCTGTATTGCCCTATTCATAAGTGGAGCTTAGTGGCACGTGGGCGTTTGCATCATTAACCTGGGGTACCTGGCGCTTTAGCAACCGCATCCCTTCATTCTGCAGAACCACACACAGAGCGTCAGCTTCACTGACGTCTCTGGTAACAGACAGATTGCAACCGCGCTTCCGAATAACAAAGGCGTTTTCCAAAGTTCGGCACTAGGTCCCCTCTTATATACTATCTTTTCAAATAACCTCAGCTTGTTCGTGTGCGACCGTTGGTGCCGGACGACACCCAGGTCATGGTCTGTGGCAACAAGACAACCCTGTCAGATCTGACTGAGCGCATGGAGCAGGCCCTCTTTTCTCTCGACCTTTGGTTCCGCGCAAATTCGACAAAACTCACCTGATTGTTCTTGGCAGTAGACAAAAACTGCGGGGCCGGAACGTTACACCTCTCGGGGTGAAATTCCGCGAGCGTACAATATAACCCGTATTAGAAGCAAAAATCTGGGGGTGATCTTTGATCATCATCTTTCCTGGGACGCCCATTTAACTATGTACAAGAAATTACGCGTAAATGCTTCGGGATCCGCATTGGCCTGTCGCACATAGGTACGTCATTACCTTCCGGCCGAGATCTTGCCCGCCATTGTAACCGCCCTGGTGCTATTGCCTCCCTCCCGCGTCCGCTATTGCCTCCCTATGTACGGCAGCGGCAGCGGGAAGAATCTTGCTAAGATTCAAAAGGTGATCATTGATCAACTTTGCCGCTCGTGTCGTCTCAGGTAGAAGGAAGTTCAGCCATTCTGCAGACGTTCGGAGGGCGCTGGGATGGCTCGATGTAGAGGATCTATTCAAATATCATACGCCTGCATTACTCACAAAATTATCAAATACCATACACCAGTGTCACTTTCATCCTTTATCCAAGCAAACCGTGATACACGAGTTCGGAGCACTCGCCAGGGTGACGACCTGCGAATGCCACCTGTCAGGACGGA